TAGTTTATTATGTCATAACTGGCTTCCTGGCTTCAGCTCCTGCCCAATCCACAGACAAAGTGTATATAGATAAAGCTAGTCATTTGCTGGCAGGAAAGATCTGGAAGCCATGGGTTTGCAACCAATAGTGTCTGTCACAATAAATACAGGCTTTCCTGATTAGGTGAAAGTATTCTATAAAGGACAGAAATGGTATGGACCTAACAGAAGCAGAAGATATTAAGAAGAGGTGGTAAGAATACACAGAAGAACTGTACAAAAAAGATCTTCACAACCCAGATAGTCACAATGGTGTGATCACTCACCTAGAGCCAGACATCCTGGAATGTGAAGTCAAGTGGGTCTTAGGAAGCATCACTTCAAACAAAGCTAGTGGAGGTGATGGAATTCCAGTTGAGCTATTTCAAATCCTGAAAGATGATGCTGTGAAAGTGTTGCACTCAGTATGCCAGCAAATTTGGAAAACTCAGCAGGGGCCACAGGACTGGAAAAGGGCAGTTTTCATTCCAATCCCTAAGAAAGGCAATGCCAAAGAATGCTCAAACTACTGCACAATTGTTCTCATCTCACACACTATTAAAGTAATGCTCAAAATTCTCCAAGCCAGGCTTCAGCAATATGTGAACCGTGAACTTCCAGATGTTCAACCTGGTTTTAGAAAAGGCAGAGGAACCAGACATCAAATTGCTGACATCTGCTGGATCATCAAAAAAGCAATAGAGTTCCAGAAAAACATCTATTTCTGCTTTATTGACTATGCCAAAGCCTTTGACTATGCAGTTCACAATAAACTGTGGAAATTCTGAAAGAGATGGGAATACCAGACCACCTTACCTGCCTCCTGAGAAACCTGTATGCAGGCCAGGGAGCAACAGTTAGAACTGGACATGGACCAACAGACTGGTTCCAAATAGGAAAAGGGGTACGTCAAGTCTGTATATTGTCACCTTGCTTATTTAAATTATATGCAGAGTACATCATGAGAATCATTGGGCTGGAGGAAGCACAAGCTGGAATTCAGATTGCTGGGAGAAACATCAATAACCTCAGATATGCAGACAACACCATCCTTATGGCAGAAAGTGAAGAACTAAAGAGCCTTTTGAAGTGAAAGAGAGAGTGAAAAAGTTGGCTTACAGCTCAACATTTAGAAAACTAAGATCATGGCATCCGGTCCCATCACTTCATGGCAAGTAGATGGGGAAACAGTGGAAATAGTGGCTGACTTTATTTTGGGGGGCTCCAAAATCACTGCAGATGGTGATTGCAGCCATGGAATTAAAAGATGCTTACTCCTTGGAAGGAAAGTTAGGACCAACCTAGACAGCATATTAAAAAGCAGAGACATTACTTTGCCAACAAAGGTCCACCTAGTCAAGGCTGTGGTTTTTCCAGTGGTCATGTATGGATGTGAGAGTTGGACTATAAAGAAAGCTGAGCGCTGAAGAATTGATGCTTTTGAACTGTGCTGTTGGAGAAGACTCTTGAGAGTCCCTTGGACTGCAAGGAGATCCAACCAGTCCATCATAAAGGAGATCAGTCCTGGGTGTTCATTGAAAGGACTGATGTTGAAGCTGAAACTCCAATACTTTGGCTAGCTGATGCAAAGAGCTGACTCATTTGAAAAGACCCTGATGCTGGGAAAGATTGAGGGCAGGAGGAGAAGGGGACGTCAGAGGATGAGATAGATGGTTGGATGGCATCACCAACTCAATGGACATGAGTTTTAGTAAACTCCAGGAGTTGGTGATGGACGGGGAGGCTTGGCATGCTGCGGTTCATGGGGTCAAAAAGAGTCAGACGCGACTGAGCATCTGAGTCAAACTGAACTGAACTGAAGCTGTAAAGGAGGCTCTTTTCAAACATTCTATGCTAACTAGTTAGAAGAAAAGATGGAAGTGGGTCACCTAGGAGTTATATGATATTATCAATCAGGCCTGGCTTCATGAGAAAGCATTCTGTGTGTTTGCACAAGGCCCTGGACTCAGAAGGGTTCCAGACTATATCTCCCATTAACACCCTGAAATTCTTAATAATTTTTGAACAAAGAGACCTGGATTTTTACTTTGTGCTGGGCCTTGCATGATCAGCCCTGATTATGTAGCTGATCAGGTGATCAATGCCATACTCTGGTATCTGATAGCAGGAATTGAGAGGAAAAAGTAAATCTTGGAATCACTACAGCAGAACAAGTATCTAATGATTGACTATGAAAAGAAAGTGAAAATAAAACTTAAGAGTCTTGTTTTCTGGGAAGATGGCAGTTATTTACATGAAGTACATAGTAGAAAAGAAGATTTATTTGAGAAAAAAAGAGAAGATCTCTATCAGCCCGAGAAAATGGAATTTGAGGATTTAACCGCTAAGGAAAGCTCAGACAAAGAGGACAAAATCTGAATTCGAAGAGCTGGAGCTGTATTTGCTCTTGTTTAGTTGCCAAGTCGTGTCTTTTGCAACCTCATGGACTGTAGCCCACCAGGTTTCTTTGTCCATGGGATTTCCCAGGCAAGAATACCTTGCCATTTCCTTCTCCAAGGGATCTTCCCAACCCAGAGATTGAACCCATGTCTCCTGCATTGGTGGGTGGATTCTTTGAGCCACTTGGGAAACCTGAGGTTGCATTTAGAGTATAAGAAATTAGGTGAGATTACCAGGAATACGGACAACAGAGGATGAGATGGCTGGATGGCATCACCAACTCGATGGACATGGGTTTGGGTGGACTCTGGGAATTGGCGATGGACAGGGAGGCCTGGCGTGCTGTGATTCATGGGGTTGCAATGAGTCAGACACAACTGAGCAACTGAACTGAACTGAACCATGAATATGTATACAGAAAAGGTATAAAGGAGAGACTTGGCTCATTTATAACAGTGCTGGAACCAGGTAATATTGCTATATTTTGTCTTTTCTTTGTGAAGACTTATTCCCATACCACAGCTGCTGCTGCTGCTGCTGCTAAGTCACTTCAGTCGTGTCCGACTCTGTGTGACCCCATAGACGGCAGCCCACTAGGCTCCTCTGTCCCTGGGATTCTCCAGGCAAGAACACTGGAGTGGGTTGCCATTTCCTTCTCCAATGCATGAAAGTGAAAAGTGAAAGTGAAGTCGCTCNCTGGAGTGGGTTGCCATTTCCTTCTCCAATGCATGAAAGTGAAAAGTGAAAGTGAAGCCTCCCAGCCGTGCTTGACTCTTAGCGACACCATGGACTGCAGCCCACCAGGCTCCTCCGTCCATGGGATTTTCCAGGCAAGAGTACTGGAGTGGGGTGCCATTGCCTTCTCTGCCCATACCACAGAGTTTCTCTGAAAGAACCAAGCCTGGTCAAGGGAGCTAGGTGGGACCTCAGAGGTACTGTAGGATAACATCCACATTTTAGAGATGAGAAACCCAAAGCTCCAGAAAGCAGATCAAAAAAAACAAAAACTCTATGTTTCCTTTTCCCTGCTGTTGAAATGTGCTGTCCAAAAATTAAGGGGAAAAAAAATCATTGGAATCTTGTGATGGCAGAAAAAGGTCTTGGGAATTTGCTGCAGGTCCAGTGGTTAGAACTCTGTGCTCTCATTCCGCAATTGGTGTGAAAGAGGCCTTGATTTGACTGGATCCTATCACATGACTTCTCTGTAGGCACTTCAACTCCTTTACTATAAAAAGGATAATATCCCTCAAGCACATTTCTCCTCTTCCTCCACTGTGGAGGAAGGATCACAACCTGAGGTTCCTGGCTGAGCATCTGAAGGCAGACTTAAGCCTGGCTGCTTCCCAGTAACCTAGCCTGGGGTTAGGCTCATGGGTTAGGCTCATAGGTCAGTCCGGGAGAGACGCCCCTATCTGTTTCTAATTTGTCCAAAGGCTGTATTCCTGAAAAGTGTTGTTTTGAGTGTAAGAGCGAGTCGTGAAGTGCCTGGCACTGAGTAAGCTCTAAATAAAGACACGCATACAATTCTTATGAGCTGTGCATTGCACATTTATTATAAACTCACGAAGCTTAACAAACACAATAACGCCAAACTAGAATTATTGGTGTAATTCTTATAGAAAGGACACATCCATTCTCAACACTTGCAGTATTACCCTGGATCTTATTGTAAAATTCTTGGAAACTGCCAGGATACTAAAATAACTAGTTATTTATGGCTCTGGTAAAAACTACTCCAATTGTTATTTCAGGATTCTGTACTGCGCTGGGATTAAAAATACAGGGAAACGTCACTGGAGCCATGAAGCTACAACATATCATCTTCAGTAGGAAAACTGTGCCTTTTTTTTTTTTTTAAATGCTTTCAAGTTTACAGTATGGCTTCTTCCCTATTACGGAAGAAAACTCATGTTTTTATTGTCAAACCATTTTCTTCTAAAATTTCTCAACCAGCATCTACATTTGTCAGCAGGCACCACCAGGGCCTGGGTTAACATGTTCCAGTCCCTATCCCCCAACCGCGGCCACCGCAGTCCAAGAAGACCAGTGAGAACCCGAGGCCGGGGGGTGCGAATCTGAACTCTCATTCCATGTATCACGCAGAATCACGGTTTCAAGCCCCAGATTCAGCTGGTCCTTTCTCAACGCTCTCTGCAAGGGACTCCGGGGGCTTGTTTCTCCGACGTTGTCTACACCCTGAATAGCTTGTCGCTCGGCTCGGGATGGCCGGGCTGCACGCCCCCAAGTCAGAGGACGTCACGGGGGTGACCACCTCGCTACACCCTTCAATACCCGAAGAGCTTTCAAAATATAACAATGCCCACTGACGCAGGATGAACTTAATCAGCCTGTCTGGGATATGGGGCCCGGCGTGGTATTTAGTTAGTATAACTAACCCCTAAGGTAGTACTAACGAGCACCAGGTGGTACTGCCTCCGCAGCACCACGTGGGCCGCGAGGCAGCCGGGGCCACGCTGCGCTCCCACCTGCCCCCCGCCCCTGACGCACCACGCTCCGCACAGGCGCACAGCGCAGCGGCCGACCCGGGCCCGCGCGTGCGCATCGCCCGGCGTCTCTGCCGCGGCACGGTCTCCCGGCTGGAGAGCTCATTGCGCGCGGCGAGCCCCGCCTCCCCGGCCGGCTGGGGGCGTGGGCATGGAGCCGGCCGCCGCTGCCTAGCCCCCGACCCGCGCCGCTGCTTAGGGCGCCCTGAGGTCTCCGTGGGGTGGGCCGGGCGCGGCCTGGCGCTGCGCGGATGGCCCCGCTCGCCGTCCTCCTCGTCCTATTCCTGACCACCGCTGGGAGGTGCCAGGAGCAAGCCCAGACCACCGACTGGCGGGCCACCCTGAAGACGATCCGGAACGGCGTTCACAAGATTGACATGTACCTGAACGCCGCCTTGGACCTCCTGGGAGGCGAGGACGGGCTCTGCCAGTACAAGTGCAGTGACGGTGAGGGGGCCCATGCTTTCGGGGCTGTTGGGGGGACTGGGGTCGTGGACGTGTGAGATGCCCGGCGAACCTGGTCGGTGTCCTTCTGGCCCTGGAAAAACGTAAGCACCGCTAGGATCTTGCCGTTCTTGTGATTGAGCAACCTGCTGACAGGTTCACACCACTGCTTTTAGACTGTGAGAGGTCGCCTGAGAGTACTCTGCATTCTGTTTCATTGCTGCTGAATTACAGTTTTTTTTTTTTTTTTGCAATTGCATGGTGACGATTGCCTAAGAACTTAGTGACATGCGTTTCACAGGGATGGAGTGAAACACACTGATTATAGGGCCTTTAAATTAGCTGACTATGCAAAACATACGGAGAATTTTCAAGTCATGCTGTTTTATGATAACTTTTTCAAGAATTGGTTTAAGTTTTAAAGCTACAGAAAATAAATTGCGACCTTTGTACAGACTTTGGTGTACTTTATTGTTGAGAAAGAGTTCTGATTGACTCTTCCAGAACGATTCTATCAATACTTGACGGGAATATTCTTTCCTTAGATGTCAGTGACCTGCCTTCTCATTGTTGGTTGCTATTAATATTATTCTTTTGATTTACTTTTTCATATTTTTAAACTTGAATTCTGTTTGAATCTGAGAACTTGTTTGGTGTCATTGTTGGTGATAACTTGGTTTTTCAGGCGGAGATCTTTCATTTGAAGCCCTTGACTTTTTTGAATGCCTAAATGCTATAATAGTTCAGATGAGGTATTTGGGCTTCCTTTTTGAAATTCAGAATGCTAAGAGTAATTGGGAGACCATGTTTCCCATATATGTGGACAAGTGTGGGGCCTAGTTAATTTCATGTTTGGCAGCTCAAAGTAAACGGCAACTTGGTGACTTTAGTGGTAAAACTGAACTATACATAGGTGAATTTAAAGGGACTCTGTCACGTGAAAGCATGATTAACATGTAGTCATAATTTCTGGTTTTCTGTTAATGGAGGTAAAGAATGAATTATATGTTGTATGCTATGAACTGCTAAATATCATTCCTTCTTAAATGTATGCCTGAATGCTACTACCAGTGTTCGATCAGGAAAGGTGTTTTTGTCCTCTTACAGCTTGTTAGGAGGAATAAGAGAGTAGCTTGAAGATTAAATGGTTGCTTTTCTGGAGACAGACGTCACCGTTTGACTTAGTCATCCCCATTCATTAAACAAATATTTGAGTGCCTGGTTTGTGTTAGGTGTTCCACCAACTGGAGATTTGGCAGTGAACAAAACCAACGGGAAAATGGGGGGGAAAATGTGAAATAAAACTGACAGAATCCCTGTCCTTGGAGCTTACATTCTGGTGCAGAGAGAGTGAACTAAAGACTAAGTGAAATAAGCCAGGTCTGCGGTGTGTGGAGGTCTGAAGTGGGCCAGAACTTCCAGAATACTACAGCAAGGAGCCAACAGTGGTGGTGCTGGGAGGCTGTTAGTTTACTCTTTTAAACAGGTTCAGGGCCGGCCTCACTGATGAGATCCTACTTTAGAAGTCTGAAACGGTGAAGGTGACGCTGTGAAGAGCTAGGGAAAGAACAATCCAGGCAAAGGGAACAACACGCGTAAGGCACCAGAATTGAAGGGCCAGGCAAGGGTGACTCTGTAGGTTTTGGCCTGAGCCAAAGGAAGGATGTAGCTGCCATTTACTGAGATAGGAAAAGTTGGAAGGATCAGTCTTCATAAATTGATTGTGAGTCAAGGGTTCTAGAGTTTATTACATTTGAAATATCTCTGAAGTTAAATGGATGCTATTCTTTTTCTTTTAACTTGTGTATTGGAGGATAGCCGATTCACAGTGTTGCCATAGATTCCGGTGGACAGTAAAAGGACTCAGCCGTACATGTAGTTGTATCCATTCCCCCCCAAAGCCCTCCCATCCTGGCTGCCACATAACATCGAGCAGAGTTCCCCACGCTGTACAGTAGGACCTTGTTGGTTAGACATTTTAAACATAGCAATGTGTATATGACCATCCCAAACTCCCTAACTGTTCCTTCACCCTACCCTTTTCCCCCAGCAACCATATGTTGTTCTCTAAGTCTGTGAATCTGTTTTGTAAATAAGTTCATTTGTATAATTTCTTTTTAGATTTCACATATAAGGGGTGTCTTAATTCTCCTTATCTGTCTGACTTAACTTCACTCAGTGTGACCATCTCTAGGATCCATGGATACTATTCTTATTAAAAATATTGTTTTAATCTTCCCAATTACTTAAACCTCTTCCACATCCTCACTAAATTTACTGTCTAGAGCAAAGTTTCCAGTCTAAAAAACACAAATGAACTTGAGAATTTAGGAAATGGTATGTTTCAGTGAAAATCTTTTTGTCTTAGTAAGTACTGTTGTACTTACTAAGTATTTAGAAGTACTGCTCATAGGACTCATAGGTTCCAAATCACCAAATTAATGATTCTTACATAGTGAAAATTGTTCTTTAATTCCTGTTACTCGAGAAGTCTTCCTGGGACAGTGTTTCAACCTTTCCTATGTATTGAAGTGTGAGTAACCTTATCAGAACCAAATAGAAACAGACAAATCTCAAAACTAGAGGAGCATGGTAATTAAGGGATGTAGTAACAGAGGACGTGGCAACCCACTCCAGTGTCCTTGCCTGGAGAATCCCAAGGACAGAGGAGCCTGCTGGGCTGCTGGCCATGGGGTCGCACAGAGTCGGACACGACTGAAGCGACTTAGCATGCATGCATGTGTAGGAGGAAATGGCAACCCACTCCAGTGTCCTTGCCTGGAGAATCCCAGGGACAGAGGAGCCTGCTGGGCTGCTGTCCGTGGGGTCGCACAGAGTCGGACACGACTGAAGCGACTTAGCATGCATGCATGTGTAGGAGGAAATGGCAACCCACTCCAGTGTTCTTGCCTGGAGAATCCCAGGGACAGAGGAGCCTGCTGGGCTGTTGTCTATGGGGTTGCACAGTCGGACACGACTGAAGCGACTTCGCATGCATGCATGTGTAGAAGGAAATGGCAACCCACTCCAGTGTCCTTGCCTGGAGAATCCCAGGGATGGGGGAGCCTGGTGGGCTGCTGTCTGTGGGGTCGCACAGAGTCAGACACGACTGAAGCGATTTAGCAGCAGCGATAAAGAAGTCAAGGGAGCCTTCCAAAAAAAAAAAAGACTTACTGGCGGAAGAGATGTTGAATTAAAGGGCACAAATTTGTTGCATTTATTTATCTTTGCTCTGTGGAAAGAACTCTGAGGAGTGAGTTCTAGTACATAAATAGATTGGCCAGGAGCAGTGATGGCATATCTCTATTAATTGCAACAAAGGTGTAGATATGTGCACAGATACCGGTTGGGGTAATGTGCAAGTTCCCTTCTCATTCCTTGGTTTTCTCGGTGAAGTAGGAATAGAGGTAATCCGCTGAGTGAGAAGGTGGAGATGAGAATGCTGGTTGTTGTTTAGTCGGTCAGTGATGTCTGATTTCTTTTTCAACCCCATGGACTGTAGGCCACCAGGCTCCTCTGTCCATAGGATTTTCCTAGGAAGAATACTGAGGTGGGTTGCCGTTTCCCCAGGAAGTATTGGAGATTGAAGAAAATAGGAGAGTGAGTGTACTAGGGGGAAAAAATGGCATTAGGGCTTTTTGAAGATTAATAATCAGAAATTTAAACTCTCAAGTGTTTGAGAAAACAGGTTGGAGTTCTGTACTGTGCTCACAAAACGCAGTAGTAAGAGCTTTCTGAGACCCAATAGCTTTCCCCTTTTGTCTCTCATCTGCTTCGGTGTCTTTCAGGTGAAAGACATTGGTCTGTTGAAAATATTTAAACCAAATTAAGAAAAATATGTAGAAAAGAACTATCATTGTCTTGGTCCAGGTGGATCTTTAGATTTCAGCTGCCCATACAGATGATAAAATGTAAAGCGTCAAGATTAAGAGCAGTAGTTGAGTTAAAAAATGAGATCAGTGAATAGTGTTTGTGTGTAGTTGTGCGAAGTGGGTTGGGTTTGTTTTTAAAACTCTTATTCATAGCCCATTTCCCCCTTAGCTTTCTGTACAAAAATGCCGAGAAATTATAATTTGTAATTTCTGCTCATGTATTTTAGGAGACAGTGACCACAACACATTATGGATTTTTGGTTTGATTCTCATGTTTCTTCTGCTGTTGAGTTTTTGCTTGTACTGTGTATTAGTCTGCTCAGGTTGATATAATGAAATACCACAGACTGGGTGATGTAGACAGCAGGAGATTATTTCTTACAGTTCTGAAGGCTAAAAAGTCTGAGATCAAAGTTGAGCCAACCCTTCTCTATGGTGAGGGCCCTTTTCCTGGCTTGCAGACCATGCATGGTGGGGTGAGGAGTGCAAGGAAAGCAAGTTCTGTGGGGCCTCTTCCTAAAAGGGTGCCAATCCCGTCATGAGGGCCCTACCCTTGTGACCTCATCCAAACATAATTACCTCTCAATGAACCTGTCACCAAATGCATTGGTAGTTAGGGCTTCAGCATATAAATTTGGGTGTGGGGAGACACAGTTTAATTCATAGCAGTTAGTAAAGACTGGCACCCAGTAGAAATGCTAAGTACTTTTAACATTCAGCAGCTTATAATACCATTTATAACAACATTTAAAATAGTATTAATACCGTTGTAATCTTGGTGTCCATATCAAATTAACCTTTTTTTCAAACTTTTATTTATTACATTTTAAAAAAATTTTTATATTTGAGTACAGTTGCTTTACAGCGCTGTGTTAGTTTCAGGTGTAGAGCAAAGTGATTTAGTTACTGTTGTTGTTCAGTCGCTAGGTTGTGTCTGGCTCTTTGTGACCCCATGAACTGCAGTATGAGGGCTTCTCTGTCCATCACTGTCTCCCTGAGTTTCCTTGAACTCATGTGCATTGAGTCAGTGATGCCATCCAACCATCTCATCCTCTGTCGTCCCCTTCTCCTCCCGCCTTCAGTCTATTCTAGCATCAGGGTCTTTTCCAATGAGTCAGCTCTTCACATCAGGTGACCAAAGTATTGGAGCTTCAACTTCAGCACCAGTCCTTCCAGTGAATATTCAGGACTGATCTCCTTTAGGATGGACTGGTTGGATCTCCTTGCAGTCCAAGGGACTCTCAAGTCTTCTCTAGCACCACAGTTTGAAAGTGTCAGTTCTTCGGTGCTCAGCCTTCTTTATGGTCCAGCTCTCACATTCATGTTTAGTTATACAGGTACATATATCTACTCTTTTTCAGATTCTTTTCCCATATAGATTAGTACACAATATTGAGTGGAGTTCCCTGTGTTGTACCATAGGTGTGGGTTGATTATTTTATATATAGTAGTATGTATATGTTAATCCCAACCACCTAGTATATCCCTCCCCCACACCTTTTCCATTTGGTAACCATAAGTTTGTTTTCTAAGTCTGTAAGTATTTCTGTTTTGTGAATAGATTGATTTGTACCATTCTTTTATATTTCAGATATAAGTGATATATCTTTCTCTGTCTTACTTCACTTAGTATAATAATCTCTAGGTCCATCCATGTTGCTGAAAATGGCATTATTTCATTCTTTTTTATGGCTGAGGAATATACCATTGTATTTATGTACCACATCTTTATCCATTCATCTGTTGATAGACAATTCAGGTTGTTTCTCAGTGGTAAAGAATCGGCCTGCAATTTAGGAGAGGCCAGTTCTGTCCCTGGGTTGGGAAGATCCCCTGGAGGAGGAAATGGCAAGCCACTCCAGTATTCTTGCCTCAGAAATCCCATGAACAGAGGAGCCTGGCAGGCCACAGTCTATTGGGTCACAAAGAATCCCAGACGACTGAGCACCTAACACACACACAGTAGTTATGGAGGTTTGTGTGCAGTGGAACAGTGACTGAGGTTGGTAAGACACAGTTCTTGCCCTGTAGATTTTAACCTAAAAATAGAAGCATTAGAATGTGCAGGAAAACAGGTTGGATTTATGTTTCATACATGTGGACCCAGTCTGGCCTGAAAGCTCTGAAATAGATGTCCAGAATAAGGATTTGTATGTGTGTATGGTGTAGGATTACAAATAAACTGTCAGAACACTTTATGAACTGCCATCTATGTGTACATGTATACATTTGTACATATTTTGCTTGAGAAGTAAAAATAATTTGGTAGACAAATCAGCATTTTTAATGCTCATCCAAATAAACACATATTCACTTATGTCAGCATCAAACAGTAAATATTTCCAAGACTAGTCCAGCATATTGTAAACTATGTATATTTTCTAACATATTTGAAAATTAATTTTTATAACATTTGTATTTTATAGGATCTAAGCCTTTCCCACGTTATGGATATAAACCCTCCCCACCGAATGGATGTGGCTCCCCACTGTTTGGTGTTCATGTAAATATTATTTTTTATTTGTAAGTTTTATGATTGGTAGTCTTTGTAACGCTCTTGATCTTTTATAGCTAAAACACAGTAAGTTCTAATGAAACCAAATAATGTAAAAGTCACGTTTTGTTTTTTCTAATCCTGTAGATGTCATAAGGGAGGCTGAATCTTGAGCCAGTATTATGGGAAGAAAGTGTTTTATGAAAGTGATTCCTGGACACAAAGGTTTTGCATATAAAATTATTTAAAATAGTTGAAGATAACTATGAATTCAAAGGAATAATCACATCTTTAGGGAATTGGTGAACTCTTAAAGATTAAACATAAAAACCAAAAAAAAAAATTCAGTTGTAGGAGCTTAGACGTTGTCAGTGACATTTCGTAAAAAGGACATTGTACTGAGGATCTGCCTGCAATGCAGGAGACCCAGGTTTTATCTCTGGGTCAGAAGATCCCCGGGAGGAGGGCATGGCTACCCACTGGTGTTCTTGCCTGGAGAATCCCATGGACAGTGGAGCCTGACAAGCTACAGTCTATGGGGTTGCAAAGAGTCAGATACAACTGAGTGACTAACACTGACATTGTATTGAGGGAGGAGGCACAAAATACTTTGGAATAGCCAAAAATCATACTTGTGTAGCCCCTGCAAAAATCTTCTAAAAGTTCTTAGCTTATCTTTTTGTTTTTAAAACTATGTTTTATGTCTTGGAAATTGTGTTTGCTACCAGCAGAAGACTGCAAATACTCTAACACGGCAGAATAGGGAGGTTTGGGGCATGGTTTCGAGGGAGAGGACGCAGTAACATGGGGGTGCGAGTAAGAGTAATGGAGAGAGATTTAACCTGAAAAACATTTGGAGGCAGAAACAAATTTTGAAAATTATCTATACAACAGTATTGTCTTTTATTTCTAAGTCTCTTTGAATGCACTACTTCAGAGAAAGGTTGAATTTCATCAACAATAATCCATCCAAATGTCGCTTTCAGCTTAACATCGGCATCCCTTCCCTGACAAAGTGCTGCAACCAACACGACCGGTGCTATGAGACCTGCGGCAAAAGCAAAAACGACTGTGATGAGGCGTTTCAGTCTTGCCTGTCCAAGATCTGCCGAGATGTGCAGAAAACACTGGGGCTGGCTCAGCACGTGCAGGGTAAGTCTGATTTCATGTGATGGGGGTGAGTGTGTGTGAGCATAAGATTCACTGACAGAAATCTCTCACTCTGTAATACCTTATCTGTTGTGACATAGTCCTATCAATTTCCTGAGATGATTTTGTCATCTAAAATGATTTACAGTCACAGAAGCAAGAAGTGGTAGGAAACCTTGGGAGGAGGGTGTGAGGCAGTGAAGAATTCATCCAAGATCTTGTGCCCTATGTATAGTCCTAATTATCCAGAGCCTGAAGTTTGAAACTCTGGATCCAGTGAAGTTCCCAGTATAGCACAGTGGATTTGGAGTAGGAAGTCCCAAAGATTTGCATCTTAACTCTGTCTCTTTATATGTGTCTGTGTTGGGAAGGTCCTCAAAACCACCCGCAGGCTCAGTGGTTTGCTCAGTGGACTCACGGGGCTCAGCATGTAGTCATATTCATGGTGATGGTTATTGCAGAGTCAGCAAAGATCACTCGGTGTTTCAGCATCCTCATTTATAGAATGAGAATGATAATACCCATCTTGTAGAGTTGTCATAAGGGTAAGATGAGCTATTTGCAGAAATACACATTGCTCTACAAATACCAGTAGTTAACAAGATTTTTTTTTTCACTGACAAGCCAAAGAATATACCATACACTGAAATAACAAGAGGAAAGGCAGTAAGAAGAGGCAGGAAAGGAAACTGCCATTTTTAAGCACTTTCCATAAGATACTGTGCTAGATACTTGAGACATGTTTTCATTGATGTTCACAGAAACCCAAAGTACTAGTTGGCATTCCTTCCTTTCTAAAGGAAGGAAACTGAGGTTCAGAAAGAAGTAACTTGTCCCAAGTTACATACATCTGTCTACTCCAGTATTCCCCAAGACTCATAGGTGTCTTGGATTTTGAAATCCTAGTATTAATAATAACTAGGAAGTAATAAGGAGGAAACCTCTTCCAAGTGAAGCTTGAACTCACTCTCTCTGAATCCCTTTAAATGCTTTTGGCTAAGGTAAACTAGTCCAGCTGAAGCACAGATAACATGTCATTTCTGCTTTCTGACCTAAGGAATGTTAAATGATGAAACCAATTTCCTTGCAATCTCCTATTTAATAATCATAACCTTTACACTTCTGCAGTTAGTTGTATTCCTTAATGGCGCAGTCTTTTGGAAACTTTGAAAATGCCAAGAATTTGTAATGAAAATTTCTTTCTTAACCTGAATGTTGGAAACTAGAAGTATTTGAATAACTAAATAACTAAAAATCATTCTGTGCCACGTCTCTGTAAGTATAATATATTAAAATAATCTTGGGGACTTTCCTGGTGGTGCGGTGGATTAGAATCCGGCTGCCATTGCAGGTGACACAGGTTTGGTCCCTGGTCAGGAAAGATCCCACACGCCATGGAGCAGCGAAGCCCATGTGCCACAGCTGGAGCCTGCGCTCAAGAGCCCGTGAGCCACAACTACGGAAGCCCACTTGCCCTAGAGCCCATTCTGGGCTACAGGAGAAGTCAGTGCAGTGAGAAAAGCCCATGCACCACACCAAAGCATAGCCCCCACCCCCTGAAACTAGAGAAGGCCGGTGCACAAAAGTGAAGACCTAGTGCAGCCAAGAAAATTTTTTTTAAAAAGTTAAAAAAAATAGATCATCTTACCTGGGTGTTCTAGGTTTCTTAGAATAAGAAAAGTTAAATCTATTGTCTTCTCTTACAGTCTTTCAAAAAATTAAGAATCCCCACCAGAGGAGAAACACCTTCAATTCCTGTGTCTCCCCTCCCAAGCCAAATTTGGATATTGGTCAAAGAGAGAGACTGAGGTCCATTTACTTTTAAGCATCTGAAATGTGTGACCATTAAAAGCTATTGACTTATCATTAAATGTTTTGAGGTTTCTTCATTTTTAACCTTCATTTTTTTCTGCACCTAAAAGTCACCCCTTAAAGTGCAAACTGAAGAGTGTTATCAGGCATCTCTGTGAATGGTATTTTTCAGATGCAAGGGAAATGAACAGCGATGAGCTTATCAGTGCTACTGAGAGAGACTCACTGTCTGGTGCAAAAAGTTGGGTTGAATAGTTGCATGCAAAGAAAACATACAGGTGAAGAGACTGAAATGGAAAATCTGTGTATGTATGTTTATGTGACTAGTTTGCGAGAGCTTGAGAAGACGTTCACCTAAAATAGGTTTAAGTGCCCACCAAGGCTGTGCCTGACACTGGGCTGAAACATGTAATACATGTGAAGAGTGAGTGATGCTTTGCAGTTGCCCAGCAGTGATGGCACTTTCTTTCTTTGCAGCCTGTGAAACCACCGTGGAACTCTTGTTTGACAGCGTCATACACTTAGGCTGTAAGCCGTACTTGGACAGCCAGCGAGCCGCATGTACGTGTCGCTATGAAGAAAAAACCGATCTTTGAAGAAGATGCCGACAAATGGTGACAACAGATGAGGACAGAAGAACGTAACCTTTGACAAAGAGCTAATGTTTTTACAGCCTAGAGTTGCCTTATTTTTGTGACAGGATTATTTTAAGAACTTACTTTGACATTAAAACTAAAGAAACAAATGCAGGTTATCTTCCCAGACGTTGCTGCCTTAGTGTGCCACGTTGTCTCGACCAGTCACAGAAAGCGGTGCATGTTAAGGGGAGAATTTTTAAAAGAAAGAGTATGACTCGATTTTCACAACTGTATTTACCAAAAAATAAGGTCAAATGTGAAATTCATGATAAGGTATGTTCAACATTATCTTATTTGGAAATATGGTGAAGTTTTCACTTAGAAGTATGTTTGTTTTCTGTAAAATTTAAAATATACATATATGCCCAGAAAGATCTTTTATTTTTGCTCTTTTAATTAACACATAATATACAGTTTTTCCATAACCCACTGAAACATAACAAATAAGCCACATTTCTATGAATGATGGGACTAGATACAAGGACAGGGGCATGTCTGTTTCTCTTGTAAAATTGGAACCATCTGCTGGGACCTCTTAGGAAGCAAAACTAGGATATCTAGGTATTAATATAATGTGCCTACAAGATGACATGAACAAAATTCAGAAGCGTAGCATAGCCATTCCCATTTTATGAACCACTCATGACAAATGCCATATTTTGCTATAATCTTTGTCTGTTGAAGAAGAGATGGATTCAGTAAGACAAAATGACGAGTCGTTTAACATACATCAGAGCAATATAATCTATTATGCTTTGGTATTTACTCCTTAGTACTTGCTCTTCGTAATAGATTTGGGGATATTTTTAAAAGACCATAAACCTTTTACTAATAGTGGCCTTAACAAAATTGTTCTTGATATTGTTGGTTTTTTTTTTTTTAAGTCTTTAACTGTGTAATCAAAAAAGATGGAAAAACAAGATACAAGAAACTGTCTTTTATAGAGCTCAGTTTATGCTGAAAATTATTAACTCATATTTAAGAGCAAACCCTAGAACGTTAGCTGCCTCTGAAAGTCTCTTCAGCCCTTGGAAAGCTCAGCTGTGTCCCTCTACCATTCTTTGCTTACCACTGGCTGTTGACTTTCTCTAGCCCAAGCTGTGTCTGTCTTCTGGGTAACCTATGGCCAAAGTTATTAAGATAAACCACTTGGAAAGTCGGAGAAAGACAATACCAGGAGAAATGGTTCTTTTTAAATCATTACAGGCAGAACTGAGAAGAACTAAAATAGGTTTTGGAAAAAGGATCACATTTCCGAGCTTTGAATATATGTCATTGCTGAGAACTTGATGGCTTCCCCAACTGAGATGATGGCACTCTTCTGCTAACAGATGTCGTCTATTAAACAAAGCAAGTGTGTCCCTCAGGGCTAAGTAAGCAAACTCCAGTCAGCAATGTTTGACCAGGTAGCTTTAAACTTACAATAGATTCATGGCTTTTCTTGGCAACCTTGGCTTTCTCAAGAGGACAGAGTCGGAATGTCTTTGTAAAATATTTAATTCATTATCATAAATGTACAGATATCAGTAGAAGTAGCTTTTATGTTCAGATTTTTAAAAACTTGCCTAGGAATAATTTTAGATTTATCAAAAAGTTGCAAAGATAGTATAGAGGCTTCTCATACACACTTTATCCCTAATGTTAACTAAGGAGCCAATATTGGTTGGTTCTATTAATGCAACTGTAGACTTTATTTGACTTGCACTAGTTTTCCCACTAGTGGCATTTTTCTTTTCCAGGACCCACTCTAGGACACCATACTTCAGTTAGTCATCAGGTCTGATTAGCCTCTAGTCTGTGATGGTTCCTCTGTCTTTCCTTGTTTTTCATAACCTTGACAGTTTTGAGAAGTACTGGTCAGGTGTCCTGTAGAATGCCCCTCAAGTTGGATTAGTCTTTCCTTGTGTTTGGACTAGGGTTATAGATTTTTAGGAAGAAAACCAAGAGTTGACCAGTTCTTCTCATCAAATCATATTGGTAGTTGATTGTTACCAGCTCATTAGGTTAACTCTAGGCATTTGGTTAAGGTAGTATCTGTTAGTTTTCTCCACTCTAAAGTTACTGTTTTTCCCTTCCTGTGCTTCTGTTCTTTGGAAACCAGTCACCAAGTCCTGACTGTGGTAGGTGGGGGATGGGCAAGATTACATTCCACATTTTGATAGGGGATTATATCTAGATATACTACTTGAAATTCTTGTTAATCTCCCCCTCACTCACTTATTATTCAGTTATTTTTATCAGTATGGATTCATGCTTATTTCTTTTGTACTGTGGGTACTATATACAAATCCTTCCAGCTTGGCTGTTGGGAATTATGTCAGGTTGACTCTGTATGTCTTTGACCTTCACCCTCCTTTTAACTTTTGCGCATCTCCATACTTTCTGGCCAGAAAGTAGGAAAGTTGCTTCAGGCTCATCTTCTGTATTCCCCCGCCCAGACCTAGAATCAGCATCTTTTCAAAGGTTACTTTGATTGAAGTATGGTGTCCAATGGCACTTAGAAACCAAGATCTGGAAAGTGGATAGCTTGTTTCTACTGGGGTGTCATTGCTTTGAGACCCTCCCACCAAACAGAGCTAGGAAATATATGTATACTAACCCATGTACATGGACATATCTGTAATTACTTATGTGTATATATATTAAGCTGTCTTCACTTGAATTCTATACAACAGGACATATATTTAAGTTTTAAGGATGGTATTTTCCTTATCTACAGAATACATTAATGAAAAAACAAAATCACATGCCAAAAAACTAGCTTTTGTGGCTCTTTGCAAGACATATATTGATATTTTAAAATAATAAAACTATATTGCCTTCAAACAATGCCTGTCTTTTTAAAGTCTTTTGACTCACCGCTTCCAGGGACAGATATGGCTGTACTCATTTCATAGGTGGAGAAACCGAGGTCCAAAGAAGTTGCAATGAAGACAATTAAAATACAAGGGCAAAAGCAAATTAAACCCATCTTCTTAAGCAGGCTTTCTTCAGTGACCCCCCAGAATAGACTAGTAGTACTAATTAAAAGGTTGCTTTGTTAGCTTAAAACTACTTCTCCCTAAAGTGAAAAAGTGCTATTTCTGTCAGTATGGGTAGAAGTGCAAGATTATCAGGTCAAAATGGTCATTATTTTATGTACAAAACAGGAATAACATCTAACAAAGTGAAGATAATGGAGTGTTTCTGTAAAAACAACTCTTTTTAGTAGACTGGCTTTATTAACTTTGGGGAGTAGAATGAAACCAATTAGCTAAGGATCCTTCCACGTAGATAATGTTGCATTGGTCACAGCTCACAGACACTACCCGCAATGTAGTCAAGTCTTGTAGAACGCCTGGCTCTAATGTTTGAAATGGCCCTCTTAGTTTGCCGTTTTTCCTCAGAGAATTGGCTCAACCAGTATATGAAAAAGGACTAAATGAATAGTTACCAATCAAAATAACTAAAACTAGACCGACAGTGTCATCTTTGCATGCAGGCTGCAGTGATGTTATGCTTTGGTTTGGTCTCAGGCTTAATTTGGTTTCCAAAACATCCTTCAGTCTCCTTGCTGACACTTAACAATGTTTCTCTTTGCTGGCTCTCAATTATAGGTATCAGAATTATAAAAATTTGGTATTTCTATGATTTGTATAGGAAAAAAACAAGGTTTAGTGGGGGTAAACACAAACAAGAAAGGCCACATTTTAAGTTTTAGAATTATCTCTGAATTTAGCTGATATATTTCATTCCTTGGATAGGTTACAGTTTACTAAGAGCTTCAGTTTCAGTAAATTCCATAAAAGTGACTATTTATAATGGCAAGAATCAAGCCATGCTGTCAGGTAACTTTTGGTCTTTAGTATATCTTAATTTAATATGGATTTGCTATGAGTTCTTTTCTTCCTTCTTTGAGAAGGAAGAGATTGCTCAGTAGAATTCTAATCCGTCTGTGTCTCAAATGAGAGCATGCTGCAGAGTCACTGGAGGACTTGTTAAGATATATTTCTGGACCCCACCTGCAGTTTCTCATCCATTATGTCTAACTGTGTAGGTCCCAAGAGTTTGCATTTCTAGTACGTTCCCAGATGATGTGGATACTGCTGGTTCAGAGGCCACAGTTTGAGAACTGTCTAGATAATCTTCAGTAGCTAAAAATAACACTGAAAGCTTACTATGGGCTGGGTACTATTCTAGGAGTTTGGCAGTTTCTGTCTCAACTATTGAATTAATTTGGTCCCCATTTTAAAGAGAAGAATCTGAAGCTGGGAGTGGTTAAACTGCCTTAATTGTCCAAAGCCTCGCAGCCAATAAATGATAGAGCAAGGATTAGAACCTTGGCAGCCTATTTCCCAATCACAGACACCCTTTTTCATGGGGTCAGGGTGAGGGGATAGCTATTGCTTTAAAAGGCTAAAATTTAGCACTTGTAATTTTGAAATGGCTATCCTAATACTTTATACTTATATTTCCTAAGGTAAATAAATCTTTAAAACATATCACCCCATATGCTATAAAGGCAATACAGCATTCTGAGATAACAAACATCTGGGGGGAATTTAATTCCTTTCATCTGTTCCTTTCAGGTACATGGAAGGTTAGCCAACTGGAGTTTCACTTCAGTATAAGGAGTATTTTTAGGGCTCAAGTAGAGGAGACCATGAACAGTAGGCAGAAGAACAGGAAGCTCTGGTGGTCAGCTAACTCATTCAAACTGGGTAAGGTCCAGAGCACAAATGCTGAAATTATGAATTTCATTCAGTGGGTAAATATTTATTGAGTACCTCTTATATCCTATGCAACTTCCTGGTAATGGTCAAACCAAAAGAAGGCCAAGTCTGCTTTCAATATGCTTAAGATGGTGGCAATAAAAATTTACTGAGCTTTTCACAAGCCAGGCACTGTTCTGAATACAGTAATTTAACTCAATTGTCTCAACCAGCTTATGAGGGAGATACTGACATTCCATGTCTTCACTGCACTAGAACAAAGTGATTTCAGAAATATTTTATGCCTACAATAAAAAGAACAGTAAATGGCATGGGGTGAATAAAATCCTTTGATTTCATATTCTGTGTGCTTTTTTGAACCACAGCACATGTAGGAAGTTAGATTTTGTTTTTCTCTCTCATATAAAAAAGTGATATTTATAGAAGCATGAATGCTAAGTTGCTTCAGTCATGTCTGACTTTTGGGGACCCTATGGACCGTAGCCCGCCAGGCTCCTCTGGTCATGGGATTCTCCAGGCAGGAATACTGGAGTGGGTTGCCTGACCTCCTCCAGGGGATCTTCCTGACCCAGAGATTGAACCTTGTCTCTGGCATCTCCAGCATTGGCAGCCAGTTATTTACCACTAGCGCCTCCTGTGGTGTTGGTTTAGTCACTAAGTCGTGTCGGACGGACTCTTGCGAGTGCATGGACTGTAGCCTGCCAAGCTCCTCTGTTCATGGGATTTTCCAGACAAGAATACTAAAGTAGGTTGCTTTTCCCTTCTCCAAGGGATCTTCCCGACCCAGGGATCGAACCCAGGTCTCCTGCACTGCAGGCAGATTCTTTACCGACTGAGCGCCACCTGGGAAATCCCATTTATAGAAATCGGATCTCTTAGGCTAATATATTGGAAGTCGTGTCTTAACACATTTCCCCCTGTCTGCTATTGGTTACTTTTTAAATGACGAGACCACGAGAAGTTGGAAAAGATGAAGCCACGTTTTCTTCCAATGTCAGGAGTTACTCGTTGAAGCAAATTTACACAATAACCAGCCACCCGAAGAGGAGCTCAATTAAATGCAGCAAGCATGCTCAGTAAAAGTCATAATCCACAGAGCCCAAAATCGGGTCTCCGACTTTCTGCATGATTCCTTTCCAGAATTAACACTACATATGAAAGTCAGACTTGGAAATTCTGGAGTTGCCTCCAGTTTACTTAGTCCCGGATCCGCTATACAAAGAGCGTTTTTAAAGTCCTCCGAACAAGTCACCGGCACTGGGAAAAGGGGGAAACGCGGCAGCGCGCACCTTTGAGCTGCGCGAGGAGCAGAGACTGGGGCGGAGCTCGACCGACCCGGGGCTCGCCGCAGGCGGTCTGTAGTTAGTTACCTGCAGCCTCCCACCCCAGGACCGCGGCTTGTCTTCGGAGTCGCTGCTGACATCTCCCGAAGGCCGGCTTCGGCTCCCCAGGCGCCAGGCGGGCGAGACCGCGTCCTCTGCCGTGCCAGGGCGCTCCGGCCGCTGCGAACCCCGAGCGAAGTCAAGGGCATCCCCGACCCCCCGAGCCCGCCTCCACCGCGGGAAGGGCGGGAGCCAGGGCGGCGGGGGCGGAGGAAGGGGCGGGGGCAGCGGCCCGGCTTCAGGAAGCGGAGGCCGCCCGGGCGTCGGTGCCACGCTCTCCGCTGCGATGAGCTCCGAGCCTGCGCTCCGCCCGGCTCGCGGTGCGGGTAGGTGGCGGGTGCCGAGCGGGGCGCGCGGGCGCGAGTGGGGACGCGGGTTGCCCCGGCTTTGCTCGGCGGCCGGGAGAAGTTGAGGGTCTTGGAGGGAAGCGCTCAGGTCGGGTGGGCGCAGCGGAGCTTCTGGGCTCAGGAAAAACAACTCCGGGGCCTCGCCGCCGCCTCCTTGCGGTCTCTGGTGGCGGCGCTGGGCGCTGGGGAGTGCCCCTGCCGCTTTTGTCCTCCGGGCACTGATCTCTTCCTAGCTGTCGTGGCAATTTGAACTTTAACTGCGCCTGGTCATAAGAAAAGTTAACTTTTGGGTCTTGTTGGGCCTTATTTTTTTCCCTTCTACGTAAAAATAAGTGGTTGCCTGTAGTAACAGTGGAGCGTGAGCAGCCCGCGGGGGTGGCCGGGCAGAGAGAAGCCCCGGGCTTGCCAGCACGGAAACTGGAGACGAAAGTCAGGCCTTGGCATCTGCACAGCCCCGCATGGTTCTCCTGCATCTGGGAAACCTGCGGTTATTTGTGAGTTTAACTTAAGGCCACGGTAACTTTTCTCTGGGGGGTTCCCTGGTGGCTCAGACGGTAAAGAATCCGCCTGCTAAAGCAGGAGACCTGAATTCGATCCCTGGGTCGGGCAGATCCCCTGGAGGAGGGCATGGCGACCCACCCCAGTATTCTTGCCTGGAGAATCCCACGGACAGAGGAGCCTGGCCGGCTAAGGTCCATGGGGTCTCAAAGAGTCGGACACAGCGACTAAAACAACGAACAACTTTTCTCTACAAAAGAATCAGCTTCTAAATACAGGCTTTAGGATGTTCTTCCCTGTCACTTATAATTACATTACCGATAAGGTTTAGAAACTCTGAGCCTGGCCATAGTTTTAAAAAGGGCGATACATAAAACAAGCCTCGTCGCAGAGGCACGTTGTAAAAGTCACCACGGTTGTTCAGGAAGTGGGGTTACCCTGACGAGGTCCTGCAACCATTTCCCTCTTGGAACCCGGGGGGAGGGGTTCGGGAAGGAGGGCTGGATGCTTGAGGCACTGCTAGTCACTGCACATCCCCTGCCGTTCCTGTAATGGTTTCCTTCGTCTCCCGACTTGCTCCCCTTTCTTTGTCCACATTGCTCCTTTTCCTGTGTATTCCAGGCCTGACATGCGTCACTGAAGGTAGGGTTATTAAACCAGTCCTTGATAAGGAATATGGGTAGATTGTCACAGATACTGCAGTGAATGAAGATGACGACATTAGATACTGAAGAGGTTTGGAGAAGTGAGCACTTGGTTTAGAAAGGTTTCTGGTCTCTCCCTGGTGGGAGTGGTTTTACCATGTTAAACCACGGGAGTGCACGGACTTTGCAATCTGCAGGCAGAACCGGGCCTTTCGGTACCAACTCCAAGGCACCGACCTTAGATAAGCCCCTTGCACTTTCTCTGTCTCAAAGGGCCTGTGGAGCAGAGTGAGATAAAGTTATCTCATGTGCCAAGCCATCAACAAATGGTAACTGGAGGCGTTCTCAGGTTAAGGTGTGGAGGAAAAAGTATGATTGATTGTTTTGTAAAAAACTGGTTTGAGCAAAGAGATGGTTACATTATGATGGAGAGGAAAACTGCATAAATCAGAGAAGGAGAAGGGAGGAGAGGTCAAGAGTCTGGTTGCCCCATTTCTGAGAATAATTGCAGATGAAAAGGAACTTATAAATCATATATAGAGTATCTCCCTCACTAAGATTTATTTTCTCCATGTCAACAAAACCAGTTTATTTGTATTCATGCAGTATGCCATTCAGTTGCTAAGTTGTGTCCGACTCTTTGCTACCCCATGGACTGCAGCATTCCAGGCTTCCCTGTCCTTCACCATCTCCTGGAGTTTGCTCAAACTCATGTCCTTTGAGTCAGTGATGCCATCCAACCATCTCACCCTCTGTCTTCTCCTTCTCCTCCTGCCCTCAGTCTTTCCCAGCATCAGGGTCTTTTCCAGTGAGCTGGCTCTTCACATTATGCAGTATAATGATACTGTGCACCCTTCCTGAAAGCTGGCCTGTTGGGCACATACAATTTAAAATGACTGTGACAGGATCATAATGATCTCGGAGAGGCAGCAGTGAGCTGTGGCGTGAAGTGAGATTGTAATTCCCTGCCCAGGAATTGAATCTGGGTAGCCTTGATGAAAACCAGGAATCCTAGCTTCCAGACCAGTAAGGGCTAGAGGCTCAAACCTGTTTTTCCCTGACTCTTGCCCCTAGGGAAAAATGCATTTTTCATGGAGGCAAAAACTGTAAATGTAGGTACAAAGTTTATTATTAGAGACATAGCACAGCGACAAATGGGAGCGAACACAGAGTGACTGTTAAGATAGAAGCAAGCCAGAGATGCACACTGCAGAGAAGGGGTGTGGGCGTGTCCTCTCTGATGAGGACACAGTAAAAAGACGCTTCGTTCAGTCTCTCAGTCGTGTCCGACTTTGCGAGGTGGTTAAGTCATTTATTAGGACAGTGCTGGTGGTTAAGATGGTAAAGAAGCTGCCTGCAGTGAGGGTTTGATCCCTGGGTCTCGAAGATCCCCTGGACAAGGGCATGGCAACCCACTCCAGTATTGTTGCCTGGAGAATCCCGTGGACAGAGGAGCCGGGTGGGCTACAGTCCACGGGGTCGCAGAGTCGGACTCCACTGGGCGAATTTCACTCCTGCTCTTCGTTCACCTCTGGCCCGTTGTCTTGTTTTGACACCCCTACCTGCTCCTACTCTCCACCCCTAGTCAGTTTGTCTCAGGACCCTCCCCTGGGTGTGCCTGCACCCCTCAGTCAAGATGGATTTCATCACAGAGGCATATGGTGGGGGGAGTAGCAAGACTTACTGTGGTCTGACATCCCTGCCTTTTTTGGCCCCTTGAAGCCTTTGCACATATGTAGTGTCTCCTTTCGGAGAAGGCGATGGCACCCCACTCCAGTACTCTTGCCTGGAAAATCCCATAGAAGGAGGAGCCTGGTAGGCTGGGGTCCATGGGGTTGCTCAGAGTCCGAAACGACTGAGCGACTTCACTTTCACTTTCACGCATTGGAGAAGGAAATGGCAACCTACTCCAGTGTTCTTGCCTGGAGAATCCCAGGGATGGAGGAGCCTGGTGGGCTGGGGTCCATGGGGTTGCTAAGAGTCCGACACGACTGAGCGACTTCACTTTCACTTTCACACATTGGAGAAGGAAATGGCAACCCACTCCAGTGTTCTTGCCTGGAGAGTCCCAGGGATGGAGGAGCCTGGTGGACTGCTGTCTGTGGGGTCGCAGAGTTGGCCACGACTGAAGCGACTTAGCAGCAGCAGTGTTTCCTTTGCCCTAAGAATGGGAAATGTGTGACCTCTTGATCTTCTAACAGAGTTTAGCCACTCTCTGTTCCTGCCATAAGGTACCCAGTGGATAACCCATAAGGTCTGGTTATCCACTGTATTCCTGCTGTTTTTATATCCAAGAGCAGATCTTGAAATGTAGACAGCAGTCTGGTCATAAATACCTAGCCCAAAGCCCATCTGTCTCTTGCCTTAGGATATGTAAGCAGAGGGCTGGGAGTGTCTGGCCTGGAGCCTATCTTTTCCTCCCCCGCCCCGTGTCAAAGGGCCAGTTGTAAATGTCTGTTCTTGAGTCCAACTGTCTCCTGCCTCAATAATGCATGTTCTCTGAAGCTGGGTAAAATTGATCAGCTCCGAGGAAGTTTTGGAACTTCCGTTCTAATCTCTGTCTCCGTAACTTTCTGTTCCGATTCAGCAAACTGCTAGAACAGACTGGCAGCTGGACCAGATCAGTGTTGATGTAGGATACAGGGCGCCTGTTTATAGCAGAGTGAAGGTTAGAGCCTGTGAGGTTCAGAATTAAGTTTTCAGAGCCCAGTTTCTTTCTATGTCTATTGTGTTAACAGTGACAAAAAAAAAAAGCCTCATTAAGATGGTCCTGTTAACTTTGAAACTGAATGTCATTTTAAACAAGTTAATCTTGAACTACTTAATACTAGCTGTCTTCCCTAAGTCTATAAGCTGACAGCAATATTTGAGATGACTCAAATGCACAGTGTAAATTACATCAGCCCAGGAGAACTGTGAGGCTCCTTCCTCAGACTGTGAAAAGGAAACCTTAGCGATCCAATAGAGTGTGCATCTCCAGTGCTGTCACTCTCAGGGACTTGAGTTAGTTTGGTGACCAGCCGGTTGGCAGGGACGCTTCAGGCTGCCTTAGGCTCACTACCGACAAGGTGCAGAAGCTGGGGGAGGTGAGCTGCTGGGTCTCAGCTCCTCTGGGGGTCTCAGAGGAGACTCAGTGCTCTCCAGCCCGTGCAGGTTCTTGGAGGGTGAAGGAAGTGATTGGCTTTCAGATAAACATTTTTTTTTAATTGGAGTGTAATTCCTTTACAATGTGTGTTAGTTTCTGCTGTTCAGAGATGTGAATCAGCTATATGTATACATGTAGACCGTCCTTCATGGGCCTCCTTCCCACCACCCACCTGTTCTATGCCATCCATCTAGGTCATTCATTACACAGCAGTGAGCTGAGTTCTTGCTATAATGGCAGGCTCCCACTACGCTATCTGTTTTACATATCATAGCGTATATATGTCAATCATAATTTTCCAGTTCATCCCACCCTCGCCTTCTCCCACTGTGTCCACGTGTCCATTCTCTACAGCTGCCTCTCTTTTCCTCTCCTGGAACTAGGTTCATTCGCCATTTTTCTAGATTTCCACATACCTGCCTTAATATACGATATTTGTTTTTCTCTTTCTGATTTACTTGACTCTGTAGGAAAGACTATGTGTCCATCCAGATCTCTACAAATGACCTAATTTTGTTCCTTTTTATGTCTGAGTAATACTCCATTGTGTATTTGTGCCACGTCGTCTGTGTCCATTCATCTGTTGGTGGACACTTCGGTTGCTTCCATGCCTCTCTTTTGTAAATAGCCCTGCCGTGAACATTGGGGTACATGTGTCTCTTTCAGTTCTGGTTTCCTCAGGGTATATGCCC